CAGAACACCTATTTGGGCATTTGTATACTCCTGAATGCTTCTCTATAATACAAATCTAAGTGCCACAACATGTATGGATACATTGGCTGAAACAGAGCTGCAATAAGAAGCTTAAAAAAAATGGTGTTTTGTGCCCATGTGCATGAGGCCTTAAACTGACAAAGCGGAGTTCTACCCAAAAGTGGAAGCTCCACTTGCTTGCCTCCTCCCCCCCCCCCCCCCCCCCCCCTCCACTGCCATATTTGACACTTTTTGTGGGGAGGGGGCGAATGCCTGGTTTTGACAGGTACCCGCACTCACTTTGGGCTCAGTTTGCTGGGGCAAAGTGAGCTGGAAGTTCGGCCCCCTCCTTCCTCCCGCAGTCTCCTGGGGACCTTCACAAGTCCCAGAAGACTGTTGGACCAATCGAGATATGCAGCGCAACTCGTGCACCTGTCTGTCAAGCCGTAAGCTGTCACAGCCTGGTGCCCACAGTTGAGATGCCAGGGAGAGGAGAGAAAGGGTGGCGCTGGTGAGAACATTGCTGGACCATGGGACAGGTGAGTGTGTGTTTATTAAAAGTCAGCAGCTACAGTTTTTTGTAGCTGCTGACTTTTAATAAACAAAAAATGGCTGGAACTCCACTTTGACTTTTCCCTTTTTTATAGTAAAAAAGTCAGGATGTTATGGCTTCTTGAAAATATTTTTTTTTACTTTAGCAGTGTGACACCTAGTGGTCATATGTAGAAAATGTTTTTACTAGTAAAGTAATTTCTGCAATGAGAGAGGGGCTGGTACAGAGGAAAGATAGGAGGCAAGAGCCACTGAAGAGGAGAGTATACTACCTGTTCTATTGCAGGGGAGTGCTGTTTTGATATGTTTACATTCAACAGGGTACTCAGGACAGAGATATTGCATTCTTTTGTCAGATGGTGAACTACATTTGTTTATAAGTAGCAGTAAGCCAATCTAAGTAAAAATTTGAACTTAAAACATTGATTACTGCAATTACTAGGTATTTTAATTAAATTTATATTAAAGTGGAACTTTGGTCAGAAAATTAGTTCCTGCTAGATCACTCCAGGCTGGCCCCATTTGCAGGTATAGCTATGTAAAACATTAAAAATAAGTGCCTATACTGTTTAAAATCCATTGATACACTGTTTCAATGTTCACCCTGTTCTGCATACGCTCTGTTGCGCTCTATTTTTTGGCACTGTGGCAGAAATATAGAGGCCATCTGACAGGCTGAAGATTTACTGCAACTCAGGGGCTCTGGGCTTCAGCAAATGTCAGCCTCTACCAAGAAGACACAAGAACGATGCTGGAGGCAATTTACAGCACACACTAATTTTGGTAGCATAGATAATAATGCCAGTCACTCCTCAGATCTACCCAATGCCTTCCTCCAAAGCTCTAGAGCAGGGAGAAATTCCAGAGGGGCTGGCATACAGAGGCTGTCAGGGGCAGCACAGTGGCTAAATGGTTAGCACTTCCGCCTGGCAGTACTAGGGTCAATTGTTCGAATCCCAGTCATGGCACCACCTGCCTGGAGTTTGCATGTTCTCCCTGTGCATGCGTGGGTTTCCTCCGGATACTCCGGTTTCCTCCTACACTCCAAAAACATTAATTGACTCCTGTCTAAATTGGCCCTATTATGTGCATGTATGAATATGAGTTAGGGATCTTAGATTGTGCGCCCCTTGAGGGTTAGGAACTGATGTGAATGATAGATAGATAGATAGATATCAATGTATGTGTGTGTAAAGCGCTGTGTAAATGGACGGCGCTATAGAAGTACCTGAAATAAATTAATTAATGTGGAATGTACACTATATTGCCAAAAGTATTGGGACGCCTGCCTTTCCACGCACTTGAACTTTAATGGCATCCAATATAGAGTTGGCCCACCCTTTGCAGCTATAACCGCTTCAACTCTTCTGGGAAGACTGTCCACAAGGTTTAGGAGTGTGTCTATGGGAATGTTTGACCATTCTTCCAGAAGTGCATTTGTGAGGGCAGGCACGAATGTCAGATGAGGCCTGGCTCACAGTCTCCGCTCTAATTCATCCCAAAGGTGTTCTATCGGGTTGCAGTCACTCATCCATGTCTTTATGGACCTTGCTTTGTGCACTGGTGGGCAGTCAAGTTGGAACAGGAAGGGGCCATTCCCAAATTATTCCCACAAAGTTGGGAACATGAAATTGTCCAAAATGTCTTGGTATACCGACGCCTCAAGAATTTCCTTCACTGGATCTAAGGGGCCAAGCCCAACCCCAGAAAGACAACCCCACATCATAATCGCCACTCCACCTACACTTGGCACAGTGCAGTCAGGCAAGTACCGTTCTCCTGGCAACCGCCAAACACGGACATGTCCATTGGATTGCCAGACAGAAAAGCATGATTCGTCACTCCAGAGAACATGTCTCCACTGCTCTAGAGTCCAGTGACTGTGCACTTTACACCACTTCATCCGATGCTTTGCATTGAACTTAGTGATGTAAGGCTTTAATGCAGCTGCTCGGCCATGGAAACCCATTCCATGAAGCTCTCTACGCACTGTTGTGGTAATCTGAAGACCACATGAAGTTTGGAGGTCTTTAGCTATTCTGCAGAGAATTGTGGACTTCTGTGCATTGTGCGCTTCAGCATGAGCTGACCCCGCTCTGCCAGTTTTATGTGGACTTCAACTTCATAGCTGAGTTGCTGTTGTTCCCAGTTGCTTCCACTTTGTTAGAATACCACTAACAGTTGACTGTGGAATATTTAGTAGCAAGGAAATTTCACGGATGGACTTATTGCACAGGTGGCAATCTGGCAACCTTTCGGGGTACCACACTTGAATTCACTGAGCTCCTGAGAGCAAATATTTGTAGAAGCAGTCTGCATGCCTAGGTGCTTGATTTTATACACCTGTGGCCATGAAGATGACTGGAACACCTGAATCTATTGATTTGGAGAGGCGTCCCTATACTTTTGGCAATATAGTGTATGTCTCTTGCTAAAGAACATTACTTTTTAGCAAATTGTTATGGGTAAAGTTCTGCTTTAGTTAGTAAGATTAATTTTGATAGAATTTGATGCAGGTTACTAAAAAGACATAAGATATAACAGAGTCTAACCTAATTTTGTAATGCTTTCTCTGTTCATTACCTATTTAGAGAGCTACCACTACTGACCGATTAAGTCACCCAAGTTATCTGTGTCTTAGTTTACAGGCATATTTCTGAGAATTTAAGCACCACGAATACTGTTGGGTCACTTTCTCATATGTATATTACAATATTGTATGACAAAATGCTCATTGTACTGCATATTATCACAAAGAATGTTGATCCATAGATATACTGTACAATGTGGTGTGCTGATATTAATTTTGAATGATACACACCAATACACATACACTTATAGCACACCACAATGCAAATACTGTAAATATACACTTTGGGGGAGATTCACTAAAACTGGTGCAGCTGTGCATGGTTGCCAATCAGCTTCTAAATTCAGCTTGTTCAATTAAGCTTTGACAACAACCTGGAAGCTGATTGGTTTCGATGCATAGTTTTAGTAAATAACCCCTTTTTGTGTTGTGTGGTGTACTATATTGGAAAAAACATTGCAGGTGTATGTTGATCTGCACTGTAGTGTATTCTCAGCTCATGGAAATAATGCAACACATGCATTGATTCACATCAGTGAATGTGCCTTTAAAACACAACAAAAATGTGAACAGTTCCTTATGCTTATTGTCTAAGCATGGCATCTTTACATAAAAAAAAAGGCATTTTTTGCTAGAAAACTCTCAAACGTTATAAGGCCCTGGTGAACAAAATGGTGTGTTTTTGCAATTTTGTAGGTCATGAAATGTTTGCGCAGCGGTTTATAAAACAAAAAGTTTTAATGTACAAAATGCACTTAAATTACTTTTAGTGCACAGAAACACAATTTAATACCCAGTTTTATTATTAAATATGATGTTGCATCGACTAGATACCTAACCTGTCAATATTTAAAATTGCATACGAATGTGAAATGGCAACAAGCTATGGTACCTAAAATTTGTCCATAGGTGACCCTTTAGAAGCCCTTACAGGTTATCAGTTAAAGTTAAGTTATGATCATTTATTCTGGCCATTGAAATGAATTACGGTATTGCTCAAGTGCTAAATGTGCCTAGCAATTGCGTTTAGCCATGTTTACAGGCATCAAGTGTGTTTTCTGCCAAAATAAAAAAAAAAAGCACACACTATTAAAAATTCAGTTGTTTTGGAAATATTTTCAATTCTGTTCCTTGAGAAATTTCTCACGAAATTCTACTAGTTAGTGTAGGGCCAGTTTTAGGCACATGTAAAGTTCAGTGATTCTTCTGATTTCAGTTTTTGGAGGCAGTCCAGTGAATTAGAAATTTGGATTGGTGAGTGTGATAACATAACTAAATGTTACACATAGCTCTTTGCCTTGGTGTATAGTTTTTAAAGTAGTAAACTTATTTAAAAAAGCGTTTCCCCCCTGCAAGGTATATTTTGTGCTAGTATGCATCGCATATATATTCATTTTGTAAAGCGCTGCGCAAACTGTTGGCGCTATATAAATCCTGTATAATAATACTAGCACATTATGTGAAACTTCCCTTAAAACAAAGCTCTCCAGCGGTGCTGTCACCACTGATGGGGCTTTCATTTCACTATTTTTCTTTCTAGGTTCCCAGGCTGTGGCTGCTTCAATGGCTGAGCCGCTGATGTCACTCCCATGCATGCGTTTCATCCAAGGCACACAGCTCTGAAGGAATGGCATGGGTAGGCCGTTCCTTCAGAGCGCATGCACCGGTTATGTCACTGGCTGCTGCTCTGTACAATATCTCCTAAATGGTGCATGTTTAGGAAATATTCATTTTACCTACAGGTAAGCTTTATTGTAAGCTTACCTGTAAGTAACAATAGAAATGAGAGTTTACTACCACATTAAGTAATGCTAAATATGATATGCAATTATTCATTTTGCTAATGTTCTCTATCCAGGCAAAATTGAGAAAGTAAGAACTTCATCTACTTCATCTACATCAAAAGCGGAATGTTCCCCCACACAATCTGAAGTTCTGCTAGAAGATGCCACTGCCTCCCAGCGTCCTAAAAACCTCATGCAAACACTTATGGATGATTTTGAGACTCACAAAAGCAAGAGGCGTGAACGAATGGATGACTCTACTGTAAGTTCACTGACAGACACTTTAAATCTTACAATGATTAATAGTTGTAAAGAACCTACAGATGTACAGTATAAGACAATTAAGGACTGCTATAAATCCAAATAGGCACAAAAACACCCAAAAAAAGTAATTTCAGTAAAAGTGATATGAAACATTTGTTCAGAGAGCATTGTTTAAATCAGAATCTTGTTCATATGATAGCTGACTTTTCACACAGTGTGCAGTTCACATACGTAGGTATACAGCAATATTTATCCAAAACTTTTTATGGCAGTGGTTAACTGCCATGGGTGTTATGGCAGTTATAGATTGAGGGCAGGCCCATATGGAAGAAAAATATGAAGAATATATTAAAAAAAAAAATCTGAATATATTTAAAAAATATATATTTTTATAAACACATGAAAAAAGTAACATATTTTTGCATATATTTCTAAATGTATAAATATCTATCACACCCCAGCGCACAGGAACACCTGCCAACAAGTACAGAGGTCAAAAATGCTGCTGTGCATCAGTGTATCACACCAATTGATATTATATTATATAAACAGCGCAAATCAACCTCCTCACCATATACAATATCAATCAAATAAAATTATATATATATAAATAAATAAATAGTTCAATAAAAAAAAATTAAAAAAATATATGATAGCGAATAAAATAATTGAAATAAATAATTTGTGTCCAAAACAAAAATAAATGTTTTGTTTTTGTACATTAAATTAATTTAATTTTTGTTTTGGACACTAATTATTTAAATTTTATTCACGATCATATATTTTTTAATATTTTTTGATTGAACTATTTATATATATATATATAATTTTATTTGATATTTTATATTTTTTTGACTGATATTGTATATGGTGAGGAGGTTGATTTACGCTGTTTATATAATATATTTCTAAATTCATTCCAAAAATGCAGATTTGTATTTTTAAAGTATTACAGTATATTTGAAATGTATTTTTAAAAATATTTTTCATATATTTTGTAATAAAAACGCATTTCAACATGCAGTATATATATATATTTATTGAAATATATTGAACATGGCCAAAATTGTAGCATTTCAAATATATGTCAATATATTTGGGAAGAATATTTTTAAAATTTATTTCAAATATATTTTTCTTCCATTTGGGGGAGCAGCCTAACATTTCATGTTATTGGCAGGTGATTGGTTGCTTAGACTGCCCTGCATCCTATAGCAACCAATCACTTAGTCCTTCATTCTGTCCAAACCTGCCATGTCTCCTGCCTTGTGCTCTGCCTTGAGGATTACAGTGGTAGGACAGCAGAAGGAACGGACACTCAGGCTCCTATGTGATGCAGCTGCAGCCCCAATAGAACTCTCACTTTTTTGGTCCAGACTGTGGTCTGCCATTTAGTGATGCTTGCTATAGAGAATGGCAGGCCAACTTGGTGATCTTGATGCAGGCAATTTTGTCATGAGCGTCAAGATCGCCTGTGTGTTATCTGTTTTGAGCAGATATGATTTGTAGTTCCTCTCATGAACAGGTAATTATTTACATGTAAAACAAGAAGTATGACCAGAAGTTTAGGAGTCTTGTTGAATCTGCTAGGCGACCAAGTGCACATATCACTTGATCCCACCTCAACCTTCTGCTGAGCAGTGGTCGGGTAGCTTTCTTCACCACTATGCAACCAAGCTGAACAAAGAAGATGGATCTAACATTTTATCTAACAGCACACAGAGCCTTCACAGCCTCCTCCCAGCCTCCTCCGAATGCTACCAGGATAAACCTCTGCAGCCCATCATATCTTGTGAAACCCTGTGCCTACTCTGCTGTCTTTATTATACTAAAAAAGAACAGGCCACCACCACATTGTGGTTTTATTTATAAACCACTGGACAGATTTGAATAGGATCAAGTGCTGTGTGTACAGCGCCCCGCCCACAGAATTTGACAAGACTTCTGCTGATATTTGCTGATATTTCTTCTTTAAAGTGTTAGTAAATCCACAACAGTCAAATCAGTTTGTATATACAGTAAAGCATGCTTGTTATACTCACTGTGGAACCTAAAGGGGTTAATCCTCCGCATTGTGTAAAACGGCTGTTTGATCCTGTCTTTTCTTATTCTCCCCTATTGTACCCAATCCTATCTGCTAATAGTACAGCACTCTAGGAGTCACTCTAGGCATGCTTAGTTTAGTGTGTATGGCTTAAGAGTTTTTTTCTTTAAGATGGTGCATGTGATCAGTACAAGGCCAATCAGCACTGTCCACACAGATGGTCAGAAGTTATGCAGCCTCATAGGACAGTCAGAGCAGAATGAAAACTCCCTTTACAAGCTTTAAACCAGTGGTCAGCTGGGCACTGATAGAAGCCATAAAGACTGCTATATATTGCTGATGAAAAAAGGTGTAGAACAGTTTTATATTTTGCTAAAATAATTGCATTTCCATGTTCTGTGTACTGTTGGAGACCAGATATAGTGAATGCAGGGCCCTGGGTTTAGTAGCACTTTAAGCTTTCAACATAAACATTTGTCCTTAATGAAAAACTGTCATCAAATAACACTTTTCAGGCTGCCCACAGTAGAGTACTACCATATCACATTAGCCATTTATTAATGCAGAAATTGAGTTTAAGTAATCCCCAACCTTCCAGGACCCTTTTAGGTTTCTTCCTTCCAATTCAGATACAAAATTAATTGCATAAAGCCTGAGGATGGGACCTAAGGATTCCTAAAAGCTTGCATCTTTAATCTAAAGTAGAAAGAAATGTTACACAATACCCATCTGTTAAATGCTGCCTCCCCATTGCTCTCAAACTTCCTGCATACATTTTCTAACAAATTCCCATCTAAATACCTTTTTTTTTCTATGCATGACTGCAAAGCTTCAGGCAGTCTGTTGTCCTGTGGAGATCCATCGGCATCCATCCATCCCACGGCATCCATAGCTCCAAAGTGTTGGTTGGGAGAGAGTTTATGCCCACCAACTATAGAGAAAAAGGATTGAGCTGGAGCTTTGCAGCCATGTGACTGCATAGAAAAACATAAAATTTAAAAAGAGGGAATAAATAGGAAAGCAACATTTAACAGAAGAGTTTTTTCATAGACTTTCCTTTTAGTTAACAGTAGCCAGTAAAGGGTATAACTTAAAGCAGAACTCCAGTCCATATTTATTTATTTTTTTTAACCATGCAGTGGGGCTGTACCCCCACTGCATGGATCAGCTGCTCGTTTTTTCTAGAGTTGAGGACCAAGCTCATACTCGCCTGACCCACCGATCCTACAGAAAAAAGTGCTCCCCCCAGTCCAGAGGTGGACTGTTCCTGCCTATGGAGCATGCATTGAGCATGCTGAAGTCAGGAACAGTCCATTTACAAGACCACTGGCCCATGGGGGGGGCAGGAGCTGAAAGGACCAGTCTTGTACAGGGAGGATCGACGGGTCAGGTGAGTATATCTTCGGTGTCCTCTCCTCTTAAAAAAAAAAAAAAAAAAAAAAAAAACTAAACAAGCATTTAACCCATGCAGCGCGGGCACAGCCCTACTGTATAGGCGAAAAAAAAAAATTCCTGGAAATTCTGATTTAAACTTCAAACCTTCAGGCTGCTCACATAAAATATTTAAAATTAGCACTTACTGATGCTGCAAAGTAATTTGCTATGCATTTTTTTAGTAACAGCTCTCTAGTTTTGGTACCAGATAGGCCCACCCAGCTACCTCCCTCCCAGCATTGGTGATACCAGGGAGCCTGGCTGCTGCCTGTGAGCCCTCTGGCATTCTAAAGCAACAGCACAGGTAAACTTGTATCTGCATTATTAGTGAAAGCAGCAAGTTCTGATGCTTGGCATAGGCAAAGATGCTTTCCCACAAACACAGGACTGGGTTGAGGAGGCTTCACAAGCATCAGTCAGAAACCATTTACAGTTTTCTAATCTACTTAAAAATTCTTGACCTCATACATTCAGAATAACAGAATTTAACTCATCCAACACTCTTGTTGCCACCAACATTTCAAATTACCATGGGGGAGAAGCTAATTTATCAGGCATGTCAAAAAGAAAAGCAGTACAGAAATAAATTTAACAGTAACAGATTGGCTATTCACAAATTGCAACTTGTTTAATAAATTCTGATCAGATAGTACTAGTGCAATATACATTTCAGATGTGCTTTTCACTTGCAATTTAAAATAATGTCACGTTAAACCTGTTATTTGTGCAGCCGTTTTTAACACTTAATAGTGAAAGACATTAACATTATTGATTTTTTATTTTTTCTATTAACGTTTAATGCAGTGTAATTAGGTGTTGTAGAAAAATTAACCATCAACATGTCCTTTTCTTTCTAATTTTTTAGAAATTATCTTGAAGAATTTACGAAAGCATGTTATTACCAAACCCCTTGAATAGGATGAAAGGGCTTGGCTTCCCTGCTAACAGATTGTCTTACATCTGATGTGCTAGGTTTACTGTTAACTGTCTTCTGTCAGTATCTGTTTAGTGCACTAACTTTCTTCTTTTCCTCTCTCTCACCAGTACACCAGTAAATTACTGTCTTACAGAGTTACTACTGAGGTACCTGTGAATTGCCTATCTCCACTGCAGCATGCATATACTCTAATGCATGGTTGCCTTCACCCTTCATTTATTGTTCCATCTTTGTGTCATTACTTTTGGTAAAAGTCATATAGATAATTTGGGAATCCATTTATAATCTTCCCTTCTGCCAAAGATTACACATGTATTCAGGACCGGTTTAAAGGTGAAGCCACTTAGAAAGTTGCCTTAGACCACAAACTGACAAAGTCTCTTCTGAAGGCCTTACACACTCTCTGGACAGGTTTAAAGGCTTGTAGGCTTACACCTCACATTTTGTGGAGCTGGTCTTGAATATATTGGTACTGTAGATGTAGCCATTTGTAACATTTGTTTTTATTAGTATTTATGTATTTTTAGTATCATCACTCTCTTCAAGGAGAATCTTCAGCATCTGACATTTCTGGGTGTATCACATGCCTGCAATCCCACTTCACACTTTTGGTTCCATCTGCTGGCCCCTGACATAGTAGCTGGCAGAAGGAACCACAGCACACAGTTGGAGACCAGGCTTCCAACACACCTCAAAGCATGTTAGGTGTGAAGATTCTGCAAGAAGCTGTAAGAATTGCTAGTAGTTTTTTTTAAAAGTATTTTTAATTGACAGAATCCCTTTTACAGCTTGCTTAGGTATTTTTCTAAACTGTCTGGAAAATTGCCAGCTGAAATCTGATTGTTAGCTGCATGGATGCTGTTGTAAACTGGTAGGAAAAGGAAATCCTAAAAGTCGCACGTCACAGCAAAACCCTGTGAGGAGGTGTATGACCTCATGATTAAGCTCCGGAAATGGAATGGAACACATTTGGGGGTTGTAGCCTGGTTGGAGCTTGGGCTGAGGCTGTCATACACCTCTTCATAGGCTTTTGCAGAGAGGTGCGACTTTTTTTTAGGACTTCCTTTCTCTATTGGATGTTTTGAGCTGGGACAAGCTCTGTCTTTGTCGGCACTCCTAGTGGTTTGTCATTCAAGAGGACCTGGCGGAGCCTTGAGTGGCACCTTTCATTTTTGTTGTGGGTCACTGTTGTAAACTGATCAACTAAAGAGGGCCTATAGTATGTATTTTTGTCATACAAAAGCACTCATAGCTCTCACAGGATATATACTTGTTACAGTTATGGCAGGAACAGCCAGTTAGTGTAGCTGCTGATCATGTGACCACTGTGACAGCCAGTTGCAAATAAATCAATTTTACAAACTCTAACACTATCAATCTGTTCTTTGTAAATGATTTGTCTCTGCACAAAACCCCACTCTCTAATGCTTGATTTGCTTTGAGACTGTGAAATAAAAGCTAGCTGTGGCATTTATTGTGTAAAATACCACATTTGGTGTTCTACAAACTTTGACATATCCAAAACAAGAAAACCAAGCTGGTCATGAAACAGGAAAGCACTTTGGATATAAAGTGAGAGCATAACCTGTGATCCAAATTCATATTCAAGCATCTAGATCAATGCTTCAGACCCCAAACTAATTCAAGTAAATTTCAAAGTTGTTCAAGCAGGATATCCGAAAAATGTTTGGTTTTCAAAGAATTACTTTGGGGATAAGGACATTAGCATGGATGTGTGATTAGTGTTTCTAGGAAGTTATGTTCTGAGAAAACATAGGAATGATTTGTTAACGAATAGTGCACTGTGCATCTATAAACTGGACAGTGGATTTTAAGGCAGTTATTAAACATAGCCACTGTCAGGTTTTGGCACGCTAGGTTATCCAGCTGTGCTATATCATTTGCAGAAATATGTTTTAAAGTGGGTCATAGCATATTATCCTGCTTAGCCCGACACCCCTGCCTCAAAGACCAGTACAGCTTCTTGGCATTCAGTAATGGGCTGGGTTGTTGGAATCCATGTAGATGCATAACCTATACTCCACTGATCTTATCTAAGCTTCCTTACAAATAGAATGACCAGCTGCAGAAAGGCCAGAACTGCATTTTTCTGTATTTTAACTATGCATTACTTTTAATAGTGTTTTATGAAGATAGTTGTGTTTTCAGCTATACTGTATGTTGTGTCCTATGAACTAAATTTAGTATATGTGCAATTTTTGTAGGGCTTTGTGTCCCATTGTCTGTCTTTTGGTTGTAGTCCCCATAATAGAGACAAACAATTATGTTATTCTTACTCAACTGCAAAGTCTAGTCTTTGACACACTTTTTTAGAAATGGCTTAAAAATTATTAGTATTTTCCGAAGTACTATATTTGCATAATCCGTTTTGGTTACAGTGCGTGCGTGTGAAGGCGGGTGGCATATTTGGTTACAACATTCTAAATTCCCTACGAGAAATAGCGCCTCTTCTGCCTGATCTTGCCAATCGTTGCCTGACTCCCCCCTACTGCCCTTTCTTTTTTTAGTGTATTTAAAATAAACTTGCAATTCTAGAAATATCGAAGCTGCCATTATGAATAATTTTACAGGCTCTGCCATCTACTCAGTCGCTGAGTTGGAACAAACATGCGGCTATGAAGTCTTTAAAGTATACACTTTAGACATATTTAAATATTTATGTTGCAAGCAGCTCTATTGGTCAGAAACCACAGAGACTTTTAGCCTTGCTATTACAACTGGTGCTAGTCAAAGGGCCTGGGCCCACCCCAGCAATGGGCCTGACAGTGATCCACCAGAATAAGTCGGTGTTCTGTCTCCTAAATTGGATTCAAGTACACAAAATGTACTTGGGCTTAATTCCATTTGATTGGGTAAAGCTGAGAATGATTATAGAGCTGAATTTTTTTTACACAGCATTAAATCAGTCATTATGATAACTTGATTTCTATTGCAGCTACTCATATACCCTACTATCAATACTAGTAAGTGAAAAATTTGTGTCAAGTGATTTTGCCAAGTATGACTGCACATGTACAGTCTTCACATAACTGGTGTATAACACAGGTGAGCATTGATGGCTTCTTTTCTTTTGTTTCAGGTTCTTGAAGCAGTAAGGGTGGGCCGTAGAAAAAGTGCCCAGGCATTGCGGTGGGAAGCCGGGATATATGCTAATCGTGAAGAAGACGAATAATTTTTTGCATTCAAGATATAGAAAACCAAAAATAAAAAAAAGAATCCTTTTAATTGCATATTTATTGAACAATAAGCAGCCTCTGCAATCCATATACAGATGACGCAGAACATTATATGAATGAAGACATGCTTGAAGTGACTGGCACTGGAGGCGGTGCCAGGCCCAGCTAAGCTTTGGACCCTCAGGAAATGGAGATGGATCACTGACAAAGGCTGATCCTAAAAACAGGGCTCAGCATGGACCATGAACAAAGCCAAACATGCAGTGCAATTGCTTCTTTTTGAAAATGCAGCTTTGGATCGCTTTTGCAATACTTTATCCTTGTCTTACTCTGCCGTAAATACATGCATGTTGGAAGCAGCACCAATTTGATGAAAGATTGGCCCTTTACATGCATTTGCAGGTTCATATACATGCAGGGTGCTACAAAAACAATTTACAATATGAGTAACTCACAATACAGTATTTTATGTGTTGCTTTTCACAATACAGGGTTATTGAAGGAAGTTTGAGGAAATTAGGAAAACAAAACCGTTCATCTGAAACACCATTTGACCCTTCATTGCTTAGATTTTTGTCTATAAATAGTTTGACCTAAATTGCTTCTGTGGTATTTTATGCCAGATACACCTATATTTATTTCAGAGGCCTCCATCATTATTGCAGGAATTTACTACAGTGGCCACTTTGAAGATTCCATATTTAAAGCACAACACCATAATCAAGAACTGTGTGCATGTTCACATTTGTGGCTCTCAGGAACTAAAGGGTTAATCAGATCTTGCATATGTTTTTTTTGTTAAAAGAATCAAAATTATAGCACAGAGAAACACAAAGAGAAACATAACCCACATACCCTAATTTTGCTGGTTAAATTTTCTTCAGTATGGATAAGCACATTTAGATACAATCAATGACACCTCTCAGTTTTTGAAAGAGCTGAGGGTTCCCCAAATTGGATGTGTTTTCACTAGATACAGGCAAAAGCTAAAGGGATGGGGATCATGGCTTAAAGTTCACCTTTTAGACAAAAATAATAAATGCACATTTTTTTGCAGGTAAAAAATTGTGCAATTATGTTTGTCTACAGGAGCCTGGAAAGCATTGCACCAGCGATCAATAGATCGCTTATGCCATGCAGGTCTCCTGCAGACCTGTCAGAATATCTGCTTTTCATACAGGATGTAGATTTTCTGATGGGAAGCTTCATTGAAAACCACAAGCCAACAGCCGCTAAGGCGGTCGGGACTTGCAGTTCATTCATTCATGGAAGTCTGTGAATGAATGATGTGGCCGTGTGGGCAAAGCCTTGCATGGCCATGCTGTTTTCAAATTTCACAGATAGTAGGGGGAGACTTCTCGTACTATCTGTCAGAAGGGGGGGGGGGGGGGGCGGCGGCGGCTTCGGCTATGGGAAAATGTTATATGTTCCACCCTAAAAACTGGTGGAATATGTAACATGTTCCCAAAGGTGAACTTATCCTTTAAATGTAGCCTACCTGCAATTGTAAAATGTAGGGAGATATGCTAAGTTGCTCTATATATTTTTCAATTTTTTTCATATGTTTATACATAAAATGAACTCCAGTACTAAATCAAGACACACAAGTTAATTAAATGACACTAGGGGATAGATTTACTGAAGGAGTACTTTTTTCACTTCACTCAGCGAAGCTAACTACATCAGTCATCCGTTCATTTGATAGAAGTATATTTCTATTCTTTTGGTATATGACTAGTTGTTCAATGCAAGTACAGGTTCACATGGTTAAAGCCCATTTCCTCCCTCCCATTCCTTCAACACATTTTTCAACTATAAAAAAAGAAATCTGCATTTTAATCACCTAAACCTGCCATCTGTGCCACTTGGGGGCATTGCTTCTGTAAGTGACAACTAGTAATCTAGTACTGCTGTAATTGACAACCAGCTGTCCAGTGCTGCAGTCTATTCCTGCACCGATCAGAAACCTCTCCATGGGGTCATCACACTGTGCAGTCTTCTACAGCCCAAAATAACCTTTCCACTTGACAGCTAGTTGCAAGTGTCCACGTCCCTGCATAGGACCTGCCTCCTTTGCATTCAAGAAGATAGAAGACTTAGGGCCTTGTGCATCACATGACCACAGGTTTGGGTAAGTAAGAGGACTTTTAGTGTAGTAATTGTAGTGTAGTAACCTGGCAATTAGTTGGTTGGGAGGCCAAGGCTGTGTGAAGGGGTTCATGCCTGAAGTTTAGCTTTAAGTAAAGAATGTACTCCTTTAGGTAATCCAATTGAAACTGTTATTTCCAAAATTATTTTTTAAATGATGTGCCATTTTTGAAGCATTGCGGGAAATATAAGTATACAACTAAAATATTTACAGTAAATGGTATTGATAATTTTACAAAGGGGTAAAAATCTAAAATTCTTACCGATACTGTGTATAGACAATTGTATGAGGGTGAATTTTTTTAATACAGTTATGCCGGCCATAGACAGTTCTAATCTTGGGTTCAGCAGGGACTGGCCAAGATTTGAACCATGTAAGGGCAGGCTGAATGTCCCCAAGTTGATCGATCACCTTGGGAAAAACCAGCTTGTCAGGTTTTACATCTGATTATTGCTAGCGGCTATTATAGTCCCTAGCAGTAATCACTGTGGGAGCTGTCCAGCCCGGAGAACACACTGGCTCCACAGGAAGGATTCCCTCATCAACACTGACTTGTTGATGGGGAAATTGAACATCTATGGCTGGCTTTAAAGCCCTGATGAAAGAAAGCCCTGTTGTCAGTCATTCTAGTTCTGAAAAGTGTCGTCATTGTATAGCAGATTGTACTGTTATAAGGACCATTGTAAAAGCGCTAGTCTAAATTGATGGCTACAAAATAAATTTCAGGTATAGTAAAAAAAAAAATCCTCGAAATTCTAAACAGAAGTGCCATTGGGTTGGAAGCAGTTTTTGGATATGCATACAATATCCAGTTAAAGCATAAGCGTCTTACTCCTCAATCTTAATGACATGAATGATGCAAGTTACATGGCAACTGAACTTTCGGCTCTCTGTACTTAACACTGCTTGTTTGTGGCAGGTCTCTGAAACATTTTTTAATTTTAAAGATGAAAATAACTTTTTACACATACTAAAAAAATCCAAGGCTGAAATAGTACTCTTGTGCTTTTCTGCGGCGATATATTGCATCCCAAAGATAGTCATGGCCCTATATCATAAGATTCACCCTTTAGCAACAATATGCATTATATCTTTGTGGCCAAATCTGTTCAGTTAAGTGACAATCTGAACCATTGCATTGCAAATAGTTAGAACCAATAATTGTATTAATTATATATGGAGCAGCTTGCAACCTGTATTGTCAGATTGTTCAATAAGGCAGTGCAAAGAATAATGAAAATGTAAGCAGTGCAGTAATACACATCAATCTGTCAGAATGGTTATTTTTGATCTGATTGTGTTGATCTGAGATCTTTTTCTTTGATTTACTGCACTTGCATATTGTCATTGTACTATGCATTCATTTATTGAATATGACTGTTAGTCACAAAAACATTCAAGGTTGCCTTCTCCCAAGCAGAAAATTATGAGAGGGTTACCAGCCAAGTGAGTGATGAGTGTTGTATTCTTGCTCTGGGATTATAGTAGGGTGTGTCTGGGTGGTGTGATAGTGATCACAGGAGTATAGATCTAGGATTGCTATGGGTAGAAAATGGGGGGGAAAAAAAGCAGGTGACCCTTGTGAGAATGGTGTATGTGACATTTAAGCATACTAAAAATATTTGTGAGAAAACACTATTACAAAAATTAAACCAAATTAAACTAAAAAAAAATTAATCTATTTGAAGTTTGTAACATTACTTCACGAGGCATATCTAGTATGTCCTAAACATTGCCACTAGTGGGTATCTGATCTATTTTGTCATGGCCTGTATGAACACAAAGCCTGGCTTTATTGTGTGTGTACTCACTTTTAATGCACTCATGTGATTCAGTATTCCTGGACAAAGGTATTTGCATGAGCCACGGATGCAAAGATAGAAGACAATTTTTAGAAAACAATCATATTTATTTGTGTGTTTTATAATCACCCAAGTATAGAAGTTGTTTGTTTTTTACATATCACTTATAACAGTAGGGACTTTCTTTTCAAAAACATTTTTGGACTAAAAACTATATTTTTGCAGCAAGAATGTATTGCCTATATTTATTTTATGTAAAATGAAGCAGCCACAATTTAACAGTGTATTCTCAAAAAGCTAATGTTGAAGTGTTCTGACTGCTGAACCAAACAAGGCTACTTTTCCTCAACTGATAAAAGTATACTATTTGCAAAGTTCATTAATGTCCATGAGGATTTTCTAATTTTGTTTTAGCCAAGTTAACTGGGTTACAGCACCAGCTAATGCAAAATGTAGTTTGTATTTAGGTTCTCTAATTTCAGATTTCTTCATATCTTGTAAGGTTTATTGCAACCAGTCAGCAATTGCCTTTGGTTGGTTGTTACGGGGGTTGATGCAGATTTGCACTTGTACTCATTTGACATTACTGTCCCCTAGTCAGGGCTGGACTTCCCATTCGGCACTGTTTGGCTGTGCCTATAGGTATGATAGAAAAAGAGGCTGCTTTTCTTTGTAATAATTATTGGCTGCACATTCCTCACCCACCTCCTTTCCATTAATAGATATGTAGTCTTCACATTTGATGAAATTATCCTTTTAATTATTCCTCCCACCTACCTGAGTGGAACCTACCCAGTAGTGTATCTACGTTTTGCCTTGATCCCTAATGTTTGCTATGTGGGCCTTCCTGGTGCCATACAGCCTTCAGAAGGAAAACCTCTTTCTGGCTCTTCACATCTCGTTTTTGTCAGATCTATGGCAATATTCTGCAGTCCTGAAGAGTGCAGCTTTCTCATAGGAATAAGTGAGGCCACGGTTTGCAGTTCAGTGTGAAGAGGCTTTCCTTCTGAAGCCTATGCTGCGCTGAGCAGGGCCACACAACAAA